CTTACCGAGTTTTTTTCCCCCCTCCCGTCCCCACCTTACCGAGTTTTTACAGTTAATTTGGTTATACTGCCTATAGAAGCATTTGTAAAGTATGAAATCCTACACACCCTACAATGAGGCCACACATCACTAGCCATCAATACTTTTGTGCTTCATTCACCTATTTATCTCTTTTTAAATTTTTTTTAAAAGATGGGATCTCATTATGATGCCAGGCTGGATGAAGTGCAGTGGTTATTCATAAGCACAATTAACAGTGCACCTTGGACCCAACTCCTGGCCTCCAAGGGATACTCCCACCTCAGCCTCCCAACCTGGCTTATTTTCTAGAGTACCTAGAAGAGGTTTCACAAAGCCTTGTGAAATACATTCCTGTTCCTGAAACCAGTCTTCTAGTTCCAGAGTTGAACCAGAGCAGGGACCCCTTTTAGGAGTCAGCCAGGCACCCTCCCCCAACCAAAGCATGAGAATAAAGAAGAATTGAGGCCGGGCTCGGTGGCTCAGCCTGTAATCCCAGCACTTTGGGAGGCGGAGGCGAGTGGATTGCCTGAGCCTGCGGGTTCGAGACTTGCCCGGGCAACTTGGCGAGACCTCGTCTCTACAATAAATCAAAAACTAGCAGGGCGTGGTAGCGCGCGCCTGTAATTCCGGGTACTTGGAAGGCTGAGGCAGAAGGATGGATGAGACGGAAGGATGGCTGGAGACCAGCAAGTGGAGGCTGCGGTGGCCGGGAGCGGCCACTGCACTCTAGTCTGGGCGACAGTGTGAGACTCCAACTCTAAAGAAAGACAGAAAAAGAAAAATTGAGTCCCTTCAAGGGAAATTCCAGGCACCTAGCTAGCCAGCAATTGGGGAAGTGCATGTGGCTCACGCCTATAATCCCAGCACTTTGGCACTTTGGGAAGCCGAGGTAAGAGGATTGCCTGAGCCTGCAGGTTCAAGACCAGCCCGGCCAACTTGGCGAGACCTCATCTCTACAATAAATCAAAAAATTAGTCGGGTATGGTAGCGCATGCCTGTAGTTCCAGTTACTTGTAAGGGTGAGGTTTAGAAGGATCGGCTGAGCACAGCAGGTCGAGGCTGTGGTGGCCATGAGCGTGCCACTGCTCTCCAGCCTGGGCAACAGAGTGAGACTCTGACTCAAAAAGAAAAAAAGCCACCCAAGTAACAGTCACAAGATGTTTGCCTCCCTGTAGAAACTAAGCATAAAAGCTTGACATATGTCCTTGGGTTGTTTTTCAGAAACCAGGACTCCCACCAGTGAGAAGTCACTTCCACTCTCTGAGCCTGTTTCCTATTCTACAGAGTGAGACTTCCTCCAGATTGACATTCCACGACCAAGGGTATTTCAGGGGTGGAAAGAATGGAGCATATCTGGGATCCTATTTCCATTGAGCCAAAAAAGGGGAGGCTGTATATGTATGTTAGCAAATGTACAGAAAAAAATGTCGGACAATGCCCCTTAAACTCTTTTCACTATTTAAAGAAAAAGGACTTGAGGGGTGGAATAGGAGAATGAAGAATTTTCATGTTTAAAAACAAAAATCTAAATAGGTCTGAATTATTTTTTTTAAGATAATTTCACACGTTTGCAATTGTAGGGGAAAAAGAAAGAAACCTGGATTCTTCAGAAAAGAAGGGCAGCTCCTGCCAGAAAACCTCTGACCCCTCCAACCCAGGCAATTCTCCCCTATTGATTCTGTCGGGATGAACCAGACCAAGCAAGGACTTGAGAACCACTCAACCCCCAGAGAACTAATAAGGAACCATAGACAAGCTGACTCTGTCCCTGCTTTACCAGCCCCCTCTAGGCCACCATTCTTCCCCACAAGCAGAGGGCAACATGGCACTGAGGTTACCTTGCTCATACCCGAGTCTATTTCCTTTAAATATGATGATTTTTCTTTTCCTTTTTTTTTTTCGAGTTGGAGTCTCACTCTTGGCGCCCAGCCTGGAGTGCAGTGGCATGCTCCCGGATTCCGCAGCCTGACCTGCTGGGCTCCGGTGATCCTTCTGCCTCAGCCTTCCAAGTCGCAGGAACAACAGGCATGCACTACCACGCCCAGCTAATTTTTGATTTACTGTAGAGACGAGGTCTCACCAAGTTGCCCAGGCTGGTCTTGAACCCGCGGGCTCAGGCAATCCACTCACCTCGACCTCCCAAAGTGCTGGGATTACAGGTTGAGCCACAGAGCCCGGCCTGATGATTTTTCAAAAGGTCAGGACCCCTGGTCAGAACTCCTCACTCCATCATCCTTGTCCCTAACCATCCAATACTAACCAAGATGCCCACCAGAGAACCTGTCCTCTGCTCCCTGCCCATCGTCCTCAAACATCTGCTTACCCTTTCCTGGTCATTAACCCTTCTCTGGAAGCCCTGTGCTCCCCTCAAAGAGAAAAGATGTGAGTGAGGCTTTCTTGAGACCATGTCCTCTGCCCCCAGGTTTTGACAGATAATTTGCCATCAGTTATTTTGTTCTGATTTGTTTTGTTTTTTGAGTTGGAGTCTCACTCTGTCACCCATGCTGGAGTGCATTGGCATGCTCACGGTCAGCACAGCCTCAACCTGCTGTGCTCAGGCGATCCTTCCATCTCAGCCTTCCAAGTAGCCGTAACTACAGGTGTGCGCTACCACACCCAGCTAATCTTTTTTATTTATTGTAAAGACGAGGTCTCACTGTGTTGCCCAGGCTGGTCTCCAACCCACGGGCTCAGACAATCCTCTAGCCTTAGCATCCCAAAGTGCTGGGATTATAGGCTTGAGCCATCACAACTGGCCTGTTTTGTTTTTTAATTTTTTTTATCTTTCATTTTTTAATTTTTTGAGTTGGAGTCTCACTCCATCGTCCAGACCGGAGTGCAGTGGCACGCTCCTGGCCACTGCAGCCTTGACCTGCTGGGCTCTGGGCGATCCTTCCGCCTCAGCCTTCCAAGTAGCCAGAACTACAGGCGTGCACTACCACGCCCGGCTGATTTTTTATTTATTGTAGAGATGAGGTCTCGCCAACTGGCCCGGGGTTCAGGCAATCCACTCACCTCGGCCTCCCAAAGCACTGGGTTTACAGGCTGAGCCACTGAGCCCGGCCCTCTTTTGTTTTTTAATGGAGATGGGTCTGCTATGTTGGCCAGGCTGGTTTCAAACTCCTGGCCTCAAGCAATACTCTGGAAGTATTGGGATTGCAGGAGTAAGCCAACACGCCTAGCTCAATTACACAGGCTTTTAAGTGGACCCATAATCCTATATGAAGTTTTGAAACTGTTCTTTCTATCCTATACACTTTGAGCACCACCCACCCCCATCTATCTCTCCCTACTCATTATTTGTGTACCTATATACATCTTCGAAAGACCCAAGCCTCACAAGGGTAGAACTGGGTCCTATCTTTGTATCCCAGTCTCCATTATAACAGCAACCAAAACAGCATTCCATTCATCCACTGAGCATGTAGCCAAAGTCAACAGCACAGGTTTTAGTTTAATAGACCTGAATTTGAATCTGCGTCTGGTGATTACAAGTTATACGACCGTGGGCAAATGTTTTCATCTACAAAAGGAGAATAAGAGTACCTACCACATAAGGATGCATGAGATAATTCAGATAAGCTTTGCAAGGTGTACTCACATAAACAAATTGTGGTTATTCTTATGCACTAAACTCTGTGCTAAATGCTGCAGATTTATGAAGAAATTACTAAGTCAAGCATAAAAAAAAAAAGAGCCTATTGATGCCTGACAAAAATAAGCACTCAAATTTGTATGAAACCACGAGCTCAGGGATGCATACATAGTGCTGACAGAGATCTGGAGACCTGCAGCAGGCCAGCCAGGGAGGCACTGCAGGACAGACCTTAATCAGCCCTTCTTTCCCACCTGGTAACTAGCATCTGAAAAGTCTGACCTGATCCTGAAATGGAGCAGAGACCCCTCTTAGGGCCTGCCATCACACTCCCTCCCCACCTTCAAAGCATGGGAATAAAAAAATGTTTTTATTCCCTTCAAGGGAAATTCCAGACACTCAGCTAGCCCTGCAACCAGCAATTAGAGAAATGCATGAATAACCTGCTAAGCAAGAAGTAATCATAGCTTAAACAACAGTCACCCAAATAACAGTCACAAGATATCTGCTTCCCTATAGAAACTAAACATAGCATTTTAACATGCATTCTTGAGTTTTCAGAAACCAGTATCCCCACCAGATGGATAATGCTGACCACTGTCACATAGACCTCAGACAGACTGGAACCAGAACATGGATAAAGAAGTTCCAAAAGATCCCCACCCCAACTCACTTTGGAAACCCCCTCGCTCCTGCCTTAAAAACCCTTGTTTGCAAGCCATCAGGGAGCTTAGGCCCTGAGCACTAGCTGCCTGTTCTCCTTGCTTGGCACCCTACAATAAACACCTTACTTTCTCTCCCTGCAAATCTTGATGTCAATGTTAGGCTTTGCTACACTCTGGGGGAGCAGGCTCAGGTTGGGTTCGATAACCCTTAAGAAGGTTGACCCCCTGGTGTGTGGAATGTGGAAGGTGAGAACATCCTCCCCTTCCAGAGGCTCCTTCTTCATCTGTCCAGCCTCTGTGAGGGCTGCTGGAGGAAGAGTCCGGGACTCACCAAAGTCTATAACAGCCACTGTCCCTCAAAGGGCTTGCAGTGCCTGCTGGAGTTACATGAAGGCCAAAGTGGTGAGAAAGACCATGGTGGTGCTGGGACCACCACAGGAGGGCAAGTGGCCAGGACCAGAGAACTTGGTTCCAAGCTGAGGGCATTTCACCAGCCATAGTTCTCTGGAGCCTTGGCCCACCACCCAAGGAATTAGCTCAACTGCCTAGGTAGGCTTGGGGAGGAACCGAAGGCTGGGTGCAAAAGAATTCAGCAAGTCAGGGCACTTTCTCTGTTGCCAGAGACCCACTCATAGCCCCCGCTCCTTCCTGGGAAGCAGAGCCTTACTGCTGCTCCTCAAACACCACTGCTCGTCCGGAAAAAGAAACACTCCCAGCCACCAGTTCTAAAACCAAATCTTTATTCTCTAGTTTGAAAAGGAGGGTAAATGGTTGTTCTGTTTAGTTCCAGAGAACAGAACAAGGCCCAACAGGTAGAAATTATAGGAAAGCAGAATTTGTTCATTATAGGGAAGAATTTCTAGCAATTAGAATCATCCTACGATAGAACCAGGGCCTCAGGAGGTGGGAAACTCCCTGTCACCTAAATGCTCAAGCACAGGCTGGGCATCCATACGCCAGAAATGTTGAAAAGGAAATTCACCCAGTATCCTCCCTTCAGCTGCCCTCCATCACCAATGGGGTAGTCTTTTCCATGACATGTTGAGCTCCAGAAGGAGCAGAGGGGCTGGGATGTTCAGACAAAAGCCTGGACACAGAGCTGCTGCCAGTCAAGGGAAGCTCTCAGCAGTGGGAGGGGCAGCCAATAAAGCAAGACAGACCACGAGAAAATGCCTTGGGGGTTCTGATCTTTGGGAAGAGGAAAGAATCACTAACAGTGGAGGGGTCTCTCCAAGTCTGGGTGCCTATGCAGGGGCAGGAAGGAGGGAAAGGTGGGAGGTAAGAGCAGCGTGGCTCACCTCTTGATGCTGGAGAAAGCTCAACTGCTGTCTAACAAGGCCAGCTGGTTCTCCAAGCTGTATCCAGCCAGTCTACTTTTCCTCCCCAAGCGTTCATTCACTAAGGACTGTACCACACCTACTTCCAAAAATGATCTGAAGTAACTTACAGTAAAGACAGGGACATTAAGGCGTTAACACCAGAGGACAAAGGGTCTTTCCACTGGTGGCTCCTCTAGCCAGAGGGCTCTAAGGGGTAGATGCTATTGCTACTTTTCCAGGGCACAGGACAGTCAAGACAGAATCTCAGTAAACACCGGCTGGAGGCTGGCGTTCTTGCACTCTGAAGTGGGTTCCCTGGCCACAGGGTTGACCTCCCTCGTGTCCTAGGGCCCAGTTCCCTCCTTGCCTTTTCTATCCCTTCTGGGATTCCTATCATCCCCTTCCCCAGCACCAGGCAGGCACCCCCAAGCCCGCTGCCACACTCCTGCTGCAAAGGACCCCAGCCCTCGCTCAGCCGCCACAGCCCCTGGCCGCCTCAGACATCGTGCTTCTTCTGATGGGCCAGGAGTCTCTCCTCATCGTCAAAGGTCTGGCCACAGATGGCACAGCAGAAGGCGCCGTCCCGGATGTGGCTCTTGCGGTGGGTGATGAGGTTGGACTTCTGGCTGAAGCTGCGGTCACAGTCGGGGCAGGCGTAGGGCCGCTCGCCCGTGTGGATGCGCCGGTGGGACACCAGGTTGGACTTCTGGCTGAAGGCTTTGCCGCAGTCGGGGCAGACGTAGGGCTTCTCGCCGGTGTGGATGCGCCGGTGGGCCGCCAGGTAGGGCTTGTGGCGGAAGGCCTTGCCGCAGTCGGGGCAGACGAAGGGCCGGTCGGGCGCGTGGTCGCGCCGGTGGGCCGCCAGGTGGCTGCCCTGGGAGAAGCGGCGCCCGCACTCCTCGCAGGCAAAGGGCCGCTCGCCGGAGTGAACCCGGGAGTGCGCCACCAGGTGGGTCTTCTTGCCGAAGTTCTTCCCGCACTCGGCGCAGGCGAAGGGCCGCTCCCCCGTGTGCTGCCGCTGGTGCGCCCGCAGGAAGCGCTCGAGCCGG